TGTGAATCGTGACAAATATGTTTATATATACCTTGGGAACTGTTACATGCTAGGGGTACTTAATACAAACTTCAGAATAAAACTCAAAATCAACTTTACAATGCAGTTAAAGCTCCAGGAAGCTTAAATACTGCGTATAGGAAAACTCTTTACCTACCAATAATCTGCATGTCTTTGCCTATTGCTTAATATTAATAAATTAATTTTTTTCTTCAGTGAAAAGTAAATAATTTTTTTTAAATTGTATGCGCAAACTTATGTTTTTCAATTTTGAAAGGTATATTTTGATAAAAAAAAAATTTTATTTTTTCACCATTTTTATTAGCAATGTCCAATTTAAGGCCGTTTATTTATTCAAAAACATTGGCAATATAGCGTGGATAATTTGTTTAAGCATTTGTGATTGAAATTCACCAGTTGCTTGATATTTTATTAATTCAAGTTTAATTCTGTTAATTAAAAAAAATTAGATTGGCCATTTACCCGTCGGGGAACAAATCGTTAAAGTAACCAAAAAAAAAATGAGGTCATTTAGGTTTTAAATTCTGGTATGTTTCACCTCCGGCCGGTCATTATTACTTTTCCCACCAAAGTCAGTTTTTCTTGCAGTCAAAAACTGCTAGATGACGAGGAGAAAATTTCCTATTTTTTTACCTTTTGTTTTGGAAAAGAGACAGGTGTCCGGTTTTCAGGAGTGACCGGTTTTATGAGAGTTTATGTATTAAGAAATGTTACAATTTTGCCCGGGGCTTATAAATTCGCCCAATTTTTAGGGAGAACCGGTTTCCTTGGGGGGGGGGGGGGGATTGGAGAAATTTCAATGTAAAGGGGAAACTTTCAAAATCTTTTTCTCAAGTTGCAAAGCCATGTTGAGTGATATTTATTTGGACGCAACATCAGGAGGTAAATTGGTTTGTTCAAATCATAACCCCCAGGGGTGGGGGAGGAAAATTGGGATCCAGTTTTTGCATTAAAAATATTTTGGAATTTTTCCCGAATAGCAAACATGATTAGTGATATTTTTTTGACAAATTTAGTGTAGCATTACATTTGTTCAAATCATAACCCCACGGGGGAAGTGTGGGGTTTAAAAGGTGGATAAAAGTTTTGCATTAGAAAATTAAGGGTTAAATCCCAGAACAAAAATCCATGTTTAGTCATATTCATATAAACATCATATGTATTGAAGATTTAAATATGTTAAATCATCACCCTTTGAGGAGGCATGGGAACAATGGAGAAACAAATTTATATTATTACAAAATATATAAAGAAATTTTAAATCTTTTTCTTTAAAAAAAAATTTATAGCGTTTGAATGGAGGCATTTTCAAGTAGTAAAATTTTAAGCCCCCCCCTTTTTTTAAACTTTTTAATTCGATCTTATTTGTGCCTTTTCTAGCCATGTGCTCTGGGAGTAGGGAGGATTGGGCTTTTTTTTAAATGTAATGACATTTTTTTATGTTTGTTTTATCGTTTTAAATATTTTTTGGACTTAAAAGTTGAATAGAATGATGCATTATCAAACAGAAAATAAAAAAATAAATGAAGGCGAAAATTTTTAAGTTTGCTTACAGTTTTTTTGACATGTGAAAGTAATAAAAATACTGAATGACCCAGCACCCCGGGGTAAAATTTTTTGGAAATTATGTGAAGACATTTCAATTCAATTTTTTAGAAGTAGCCAATAAAACTAAAAAATGTTATTGTGCAGAAAAGCAATAAGGGGGGTGGCTTTACATGTACATGTAAAGACAATTAAGACAAAAAAAACCAACAATGTCAAAAAGTGCAGTTCTAATTTTAAAATTTAAAAATGGGAAAGTTCCCCATAAAGGATGACATATATGAGGGGAAAATTTTTAAAAAACCTTTAAAATAAACCAAAATTTGATGCATGATTTATAACCCTTTTTGATTGTTTGATTTGAAATGTTGATAAAGAATTATTTGAGAGAAACGTTTGCGTCTCCATATCCTTCATATAAATAAACGGCTACACCCATGTAAAAAAAAAAAAATATAGGTAGCAACTGTTTCTTCACCCTCCCATCAACATTAAAATGAATGGTGTGGTCCTTGGATGAAAACCCTTTAAAAACAAGATCAACAGCAGGCGTTGAAAAAAAACCCCCAATGCTCAATGGCACTGACGGGCGGGAAAATTCATTAGGCCCTTCATTGAAAAATATGATGACATCTTTAAATGAGTGAAATATTCTCGAAAGGGATGTACATGTACATGTAAAACAAAATCCAAAAACAATCTATAGATCATTTAGGGGCCTAGATTTATAGTGCAAACTTTTCCCCCTTATTTTAGTCATATAAAAATTAGGTTCATGAAAGTATAAATTGGGTCTGTAGATATACCAATTGATTGATAAAAAATTAATTTCCATTAAAGTTTAAAAAAAAATAAAGACTTAGTGCTTTCATGTCCTAAAAAAATTTTCTCCTCAAAGTCCAGGTCTTGGAGAACAGCCTTAATGAAAATGCAATGTTTTTGATTTTTAAGGTAAATAGGGATGTTTGAAAATGATAGTGAAAAAAATGAGTGCCTTTCTGATCTAAAAAAAGTCTTTTAAACTAGAAACAGTTTTTTTTTTACTAGCTGAATATTTTATATCAGAAATGACTTTATTAAATATCGAAAAAAAACTTTCAAAATTGGCCGTTTTTGTAACTTTTTTTTAGAAAATGAAGATATTGACGCATTTTGTGACGTCACAAAGCATTGAATAGTCAAAAATTAGTTATGTATTTATAATACCAATAACCAAAAATTTAAATGATATTTAAAGCATTTTTAACTAAAATAACAAATTTTTTAGAAATTCACATGGCCGTAAAAGACAAAAATGAACCCTTTTTTTTTTATTTTTCAGATGGACATTGAAAAAATTTTAATGTTAAAATTCCTATATTTGTCTGGTTATGGATTAGCGCAGCGTGTTCGAAATGCATCATGTGAAATTGAGGACCGTAACATAGAAACCCACAGACGTATTTTACAACACTTTATTTCAAAGGGAGAAAGCAAAACTCATTTTTTGAACGAAGCTCCACATCATATAACAGTATGACAGGGAAAACAAACTGAATGGAACAGAGTTTATGATTGGACCTGGATAACTGAGGATAACAAACATTTTTTAAAATTTTTCCAAATGATTTTAATTTTTATACGTTTGGTCTTATGAGAACTGGCATCCATAAACTGAGCCTTAATATCTTGATAAATAATACATCCAATTAGAAAGGGAAAATTTTTTTGGAAACGATACACAACTATCTTCAACGTCTGCGAAACAAATCAAAGGCGGATATTTCTGTCACAAAAAATTTGGGAACATCAAGATTTAAAAAATTCTTTCATTTATTTCCGATCGTATCAATTGGGTACGACTTGGATTGTTTCAATGGGAATATTACATTTCCCTCTCTGTTTATAAAAACGTCTATAACCCTTTTAACCCATTGTCGTCATTATATTTTCGATGCTTCCCATTTTACCCAAAAAATAGCTTTGTCATTGCACGGTCGAAAAATAAGCGAGCAACTGAAAAAACCCTCCATTATCCGTATACACCTAGAAGGTTTCTGTTATATATTTTTTCCAAATCTGATCAACTAGACAAAACAAAAAGTTGGTTTGAAGCTTTTCCAGTGGAAGGGTTTCACCCTTTTATATTACTTCTGTCACAGGATTGTCATACGCTGTAAAGATAATTTTAGTAAAAATTTATTCACTTTTACCACCCAATACAGTGATTTTTCCATTTCTGTTTAATGGTGTTGGATTGCAAAATGATAAAAATATATATGTTCATATATTTATTTATACATTTTTCATTTGTTTTAGTTTGTTTGCAATTGCTACGATAAATAGTTACTTAATTCTATCTATTGAGTCATGAATGATTGCTTTGTTTTTTTTAAACTTTCATCCTTAAAATGTAGCCTTATTCCTGTATCCGTTTTTTAAAATGAAACGGAAAAGAAAACACAATGTCTGCAGTGGTTGTGGATCGGTTTTGGCTATTTTTTCTTTACAATTTTGGAGTAAAGTATTTCTTTTACCATTTGTTGGTCAAAAAAATTCAATATTCAGTTTTAAGTTTCACTTCAGACTATTTTATTTAAATTTGATTTTATGATAAACGTGCCGTTTTAACCCCGTTGTTCAGCATTTTCCCATTGGTTAATCAATTTTATCATTTTATGCTATATTTTTTAAAATCATGAAATTTTGTGTATGAAAGCTTATCCCAAACTTTGTAGCAATATTATCACTCATTTTAACTTTAATTTTCATTATGTGTCTTTTGTATAACAGCGTGTATGTAGGGATGGCTGTATCGTTCAATTTTTGATTTATTTTTTTTATTTGCAGTTCCTCATTTATTTGACACAAATCCAATTTTTTTATTTGTCATGGCAATTCTTTCTTACATGAGCAAATATTTTGTGGAATTTTTTATGCTTTATCGACAACTTTTACAAAAAGTAATTCAACTAAAAAAATCCCATGATATTTTGATAAAACATTTTGATTACATCATTGCACAGTGCTGCCCAATACAAATTGAGGTATTGAACGCCTGGAAGTAGGGGGGTGGGAGTAAATTCAAGCCCGATGTGCTCAGGTGAGCGCTGTGGCCCCTGGGCCTCTTGTTTTTTATATGTTTACGTTTCCCACCACAAATATGGATAAATAATTACATTTTAATATGAAACGGGCTACATAAAATCATTATGACCCAAATATACGATAATTTTGATAAATATCAGGATAGTTATAATAAAATATTTTGACTCGAATTCTTTGATATGTTTATCAAATCGTTATAGTATAACGTTCTAAGGCGCTTGACCAAAATTCAAGGTTTTAGCTTGGGATATGCCAGACAGTATTATTTCGAAACAAATGTATTTAAAAGATAAAATTGAGGTAAAAATGACCACTTCCAATGATTCGATTTAATAGTTGTAGCCCATTTTATAAACTGCATCTTTAATATCTTTTTAGTGTGTGGAACTGTGCTGTCATCATATAGCATGTAGGAATTGCTCACGACTTCCCAGGGAGTGCTTTCTTTGCTCACAGAAAGACGACTTGAGCAACAGAAAAGAAGTCTTTGTTAAGAATCAGGTATGATGTATTTTTCTTTCAAAATTTATAAGAATCATTTAAGAATAACTGTCTTATTTTTCGATTTCATAGATGATCAATCGATTAGCTTGCGTGATAATTTGCAAGATTGATCAACGTTATGAAATCTGTCTAGCTGTTTGTCCCGACTTGCACGTGATTTTTTTTAACCGCACCTATTGATGAACCAGTACATTGATGGAGAAATAACGTACATTGACAAGTACATTGTCTATTTGTAATTTTATCTCGGACAAAGACATTGGAAATGTAAATATTTATTTTTCAAAGGCATTATGTTTATCAGTAAAGTTTTTTTTTTTTTTAAATGTCAACCTCATCATGCCTCATTTAAAAATTAAAGCACACAGCAAAAATTTCTCTGCTTATCGCATTTTTCAAGAAAAGCCCAAAATTTTCCCTATATATATATATATATATATATATATATATATATATATATATATATATATATATATATATATATATATATGGTATTCTGCATATCTTTGCCCCAACAAAAGTCATATTTTGAAAAATTCTTGAAATGTGCTAGATTCTATAAATTGTGTAAGAAATATAAATTTACAGAATATCTTATTGTTTCAAAGTGGTTTATGGATAATTTTTGTTTTTATGACGTCATAAACTGGTTTAATTAAATTTACATTATTTTTTAGAAAGAGGAGAAAATGGCAAAATTTCAACAATTTTAGCTTTAGAATTTATAGAGAGCAAGTTTGTTCAGGAACAATATTTACATATTTCATTGATATTATCATTCTACACATTATATCAAAATATTGAGCCTGATCAGACCTGCGCTCGGTGATTTTTACTCAAAATATCGACGTAAAATATACATTTTTTCTGTAGAAATTATGAAAATTGTAAATTTACGTCATTTTCGTGACGTCATTTCAAACATAGGACGTCATTGATTATGAAAATATTCAGTGCTTTGAAATCAAGGTATATCACCCTGTTTAAGAACATAATTAAATATTTCTCCGTCAAAGTTTGATTTCGGGGGCAAATATTGGTTATTACCGTATAAAGTTCTTTAAGATTTTTTTTCTATCTTAATCTAAAACAGTGCAATGTTTGTGTCATACCTGTACGTGTATGCAGTAATCTCATATACATGTATGTAGTACTTTTAGCTTGTAAACTGGGTGTAGAATGGATGTAGATTATATTTTGAGATGCATGTGATTTACTCTTGTTTCTTTCAAAAGATTGATGTTCAACACAAATATTTACTCTGTATCTTAGGATATCATCCGGGGCGATTTTGTAAAGGACACAGAAATAGATACAACATGTCAAAATTGCCAAGTAAATAAGGTACCTTATAAAATAAAACATTAAAATTAAGCTGAATAATCTGCATGTAATTTTTAACAGGTATTTTCATTAGTCTAACACGTTACAAATACATGTAAAATGTAAAAAAAAAATATTCTAAGTTTAAAAGAAATAATACCTTTTTTCTTCCGAAATATGAAGAAAAAGGATAAATTCTATAGAATAGAACGTTAAAAAAATTATCACAGTTTAATCAGCACTAAAATATAATGTACGCTTCAATCAGGGTGAAGTTCAACTTTGCTTATGTGGCCATGTCATTTGCCAGCCCTGCTTCAGAATGTCTATCCAAAAGGAGAACAACATAGAATGTCCATTGTATCATATGTGCCATGCACATTATCCATTAAATGAGCTGACACATTTCCAAAGTAAGGTAAAAATATTTATCTTATCATGATAAAGGGCAAAAGGGGTAAGCAGAGGATGCTTTCTTCTCCATGACACATCATCCCACTTCTGATGTTTGCTATCAATGGTTTGCTTTCATTATTAATAATAATATATTCTCCATTTTGGTATTGTTTTATGGACTTTTGAGCTCCAATATTCGTTAAATGTCGCCATATATTGCATCTTACTTTAGCGTTTCTTCTTAAAATTATTTTCTTTTGGTTACTATTCTAAAATAAGATTTAATTTTGATTTTGAATGTACAGTGTTTTAGCATTCCTTTCTAAGGGTTGTATTTATACGCAGGGACCTCCTGTGCCAATATTCGGTATGCCTTCAGTTGGACTAACGTGTTATGCCAGTTGTATTCTTCAGGTATTATGTAAACTAATAACATATTGAAAACAAGTATATTTAAGAATTAATTTGATACGATTTTGACTCTTTCTGCGGAATAAATTTTTTTCCATTGCAGATTGGATATGTACTAGTCTTGTACATTTAAATAATTATGTACATTTTTGTTCGAGGCTTAAGTTTAAAACACGATGAAAATTTATTCATTATCTAAATGATTTTATTACATTTAATAATATGTATCATATATGATACATTTTTGATGTCTTGAAACCTTACTCTGTATAATCGTTATAATTGTTATTTAAGGTTCTCTGTCACACTGAACTCTTTGTCCAGTTTCTTAAGAGAAACGGTCCGTATAAAAAGGTATCAATGAATTAAGGACAGATGATACAAACAATTTTTTCTGGCGGAGACTTAATATAATGTCACAGGTTGAGAAAAGTCGATATTTTTAAGAATAATTTCTCCTTAGACTTGGAAAATATAAGTAATTACGCAATTAGTTAATTACAATATAGACAAATCACACCCAGTAAAGGTTTACAGATGAAGACAAATTTCAGAATATGTTAGCTTAGTGCTAAAAGGGTATTATTATATAGTCTATTTATAGTCCCTATATAATCTATACAAACGCAAACATTTCATAACACTACATATTCACCGGATTTTAGGCCGTATTCACCGGAGGGTCAATGCGCGTGCAGCGGCATTGTGACGTCACAATCAAAATATCGAATAACGCTGTAAACAATGGTTGCAACGGCCGCAGCGAGCTACGTATCTGAGCATAACGTTCTCTACCGGAAAGTTTTCTTCACAAGAAGTTGCCGTCCTAAAATGTGTAGCCTTCCTTCGAACGAAACAATAAGCGGAAAACACCTGTGAATTAATATATATACATATATATATTTTAATTGATGTGCAGGGAATTTATAATTGAAAATTAATTGTTTTATTTGATCTTTAGAATGAGCACTGCTGCACGTGTTTGTAATTTCTCAAACTTGACATCTCTCTTCATCCGACGGTATCGATGCTATTAACTCATAATTGTTTTCAGGTTCATGGTAAGATTTTAAACTGGTGTTTCTTCGATTTTGTTATGCCTATTCAAATAAATATAGTGTAATATAATTATAAATTAATGTCATTGAGTTTTCCCTTAACTTGTCTACTGTCTTTTAACTTATTTCATTGGTTCATTTATGAAATGTGGGAGGAGTTGTCAAAGATGAGACGTGCATGAGGTTGTTAGAAATTTACTCTCTTTTTAGAAAATTTTTGTAAAAATGTAATTTCTGATTTTTTTCATTTGGACTTGAATAGATTCTAAACTTTAATAATTAACCAGGAATTATTATTTCAACCACCGAGTTATCATTACAAAACAATATAATTATTATATATATGGTGGAGAATCTAAAAATTTCCTTAATGACGATGGACTAAACTTTGGATCTATTGTATTCACTTTTCTTGGTATTTGGACAACATAAACTGACAAAAATATCTCGACCGATTCTCAACAGCACAAATCCGCATCGCCCAGGAATCGCGCCTTTGATGCAAAAAACGGACAACGCCCGGGATAAATGTTTGGGCTTGGGCTCTGATAATCAAATGAATAATGATGCCGGAAATGTTACCTTTTTTTCAGCAAGAAAACATATATTTGCCAATATATCTGGGTTCCGTCTTGGTCTCTGCACTGCTGGATTCGGGTAGTCCAATCAACATAATTTCTTCAAAATTCTATCAGAGTTTAGGTTCGAGAACAAAAAGTGATCTCACGCCTTCTAAAAATCTCGAAGTGCAATAAACAAATGGTCAACATGTCAATATTTTAGGTACTGCTAGAACCCTGATGTAGTTGTCCGACGGGGAATCATATGTGTTTTTTCAAGTATTTGAGATTCAGGAATTGTCTCACCAAATTATTCTTGGCACTCAGTTTTAATGTAATTAGGAGTTGTGTTAGAATTTCGATCAATGTCTGTATTTATGGATTCTAACTCACAAATTAAGGTAAGTAATGCATCTTATGTTACTTTACCTCCACATTCAAGCATGATTGTCAAAGCAAAGGTGCCAAATCATGTTCATATTGGTTCAACGGGTGCATGTTTACCAAACGATTTTCTGATGGATAGAGGTTTGATTGTAGCTAAAGCAATTGCTTCTGTAGACATAGGGCATATGGTGCCAGTCAAAATGTTGAATGTTTCAGACAAACATGTAAATATTGGTAGAAACAATGTTATTGCTCATTTTGAGCCATTGCATGATCAAGTTATCTCAAAAATGAATGAAAATTATGATTTACATTTGTATGCAAATGTTTCTCTTAATAGCAGTGGAAAGAAAAATGATGTAGGTGGCGAGTCCTTGGAAAATTTCGGACAAATTTTACCCTTAATACCGAATTGGACACTCACGAGAAGACAATATTGTAAAATGTACTATGGACCAACAAAGACTGTTTTGTCACGAGTGCTAATAACGAATACCCATGGGTTTTCCAATAGATTGTTGGAAAACCGGTCTTCAAAAACCACATAGATATTGTCAATCAGAAACTCAAGCATTTCTTTGACGTCAACTTCAGAGTACTTGTGTGTCCAATCAAAATCTGTTTTAAAAAAATAACTTTGCAAATGGCCAATGACCAGGTAAGTAAATTTACGAGTTCCATTTTTATTGAAAAAGTTTTAAACTGTTGATTTTTTAGAAATCGTTATAAAATCGGTATAACATTTCATAAAATTTGAATTTATTAATTCATTTTTTGAATTTTATCTTGTAATTTGTAAAATGGTCTTTTGAAATTCTCAAAAAAGTATCAAGATTGAATTGTATTTCATGCATATTATGTATATGAATCATGCATTATTTTATGCAATTTTTGCGTCTTTTACATCAATGAATTATACTCAATATTAAGTAAAAAAAACTCAAATACAGAGAAAAATTTAATAGCTATGAAAAACTAAGGAGGTACATGTACAAATGTATCTTAAAAATTATACAGGTAATACATGTAATTGAAAGTTTAACTGATATACGTAGTATCAAATATCTCATACTAAACATTAAATATATACTTCTCGACATTTGTAATGTAGAAGGTGACGTTACTGAAGATTAATTAAAAGGAAATTTAAAAAATAAGAGGAATTAGATAAAGGTTGCATGTCTAAGACTAGATTTATTGAATACAATAACAGGAAAATATATACAAATTCATATATATAAATTTATTCTAGAGTACAATTGCTGGTAATTGTACAGTATAACAGCCTTACGCAATACATCTTTATTTGCCCTCTAAGATGTGAATGGTATTGTAAAAAGAAAATTGATTCACTGCATTTCTTTTCATCATTTACAAATCACACAGCAAAATTGAAAAGGTAGACCAGACCACTTCTCAACATGACCACTGATAAAAACTTTTTTCGTGGCTCTATTTCAGGTCATAAACTTTAATCTTCTGCGTATCCACTGCAAACACAGCATATGAGTCTCTTTTCATTTACTGCTAAAAAGACGGGCATTGGCATATAACTAAACACTCTAATGACCTCCCCAGCACAGGAAACCCAGATAGCAGGATGTTATTGGACCTTTGTCTGGGCCAACAACGCTCCTTATGTCGGGGCTACTGTTTGATTTTGAACATTGGGGGCTATTGGTAATTTGCTCATCGGCCCTTAATCAAACCAACTTGTTGGCTTATTGTTGGGCCAATGTAACAGTTAATATTGGGCCACCGTCTTGGGCCAATGTACAGTTGGGCCATTGTAAGCAACTAATGTTGGGCCAACGGTAATTTGCTCATCGGCCCTTAATCAAACCAACTTGTTGGCTTATTGTTGGGCCAATGTAACAGTTAATATTGGGCCACTGTTGGGCCAATGTATTTTTTCAATGTTGGGCAAACGTCATTTTTGGGCCACTGTAAGCACTAATGTTGGGCCATTTTGTCATCGGCCCTTAATCAAACCAACTTGTTGGCTTATTGTTGGGCCAATGTAACAGTTAATATTGGGCCACTGTTGGGCCAATGTATTTTTTCAATGTTGGGAAAACGTCATTTTTGTACAGTTGGGCCATTGTAAGCAACTAATGTTGGGCCAACGGTAATTTGCTCATCGGCCCTTAATCAGACCAACTTGTTGGCTTGTTGTTGGACCAACGAACGGATATCATTGAGCCATTGTTGGGCCGACATATTCTTTCAATATTAGGAAAACATCATTTTTGGGCCGACGTTGGTTTGTATCTTATTGGCTCTCCAGCATGACAACTCATTTGCTCTTCACTGGTTGGCCATTTGTCCTCAAAATTGACAAACAAATATATACAATAAGGTTATACTAGTTTTGTAGTACAGTTTAATGGTAAAAGCCCTTGAAAACTATCTATATATGCTATATATGCTAGATTAATAGTTTAATACATATTCTCAATATCTCATAGAATTGCCATCAACAAATATAAGAAACTGAGGAAAAAGAACTCAAAACATAAAATTAAATTATAACATACTATAATTTTATTGCTCAGTGCATGAAGAAAACATTAATAAAGAATTAAAAGTTGATGCTCACTTCAAGCGATACATGGAGGGTTACATGACTGTATACTCCCTCTCTGATGTACATTATGCACAAGTTCAGTAAATTAAAGGTATCAATAAGCACGTCTAACAAATAAACAAAGCCCTCCTGTTCTTAAAATAATACTAAAATGAATCCCGTCATTTTGTTTACTTACACAATAAAATGTTTCTGGCATCTGCATCGTGATGTAACCGACAACCAGACACAAAAAAGGGTAGAACTACAGGTATGTCACACTATATTACAGAAAAAAGTTAGGCACTGCCACTTTCCATCTGATCCCTCTCCTTAGTCTCCATTTAATCTTCCCGAGTCTCCTCCTCTCGTCTTTTCTTCTCTGTCCGTTTCATCCCTGTCCTTGGCATACCTTAGCTATTCTTTGATTGTGTTCTCCATGTCTTTTTAGAATCTCCAGTAGCACTAAAATTGTAATATTTGGTACTTAATATATTTGTTACTTTTCTCAGCAAAGAATAAAAAACATACGATTAAATTTACAAGTATATCATTATATGTTCAAGTTGTCAATTAAGGAATAACCGTCTTTTTTGTTTCATGGTGTGATTAAGTGATTAGCTTGCGTGATGAAGGCATTTATGCATAATATTTATACGCTTGATAATCATCATCACAACAATTTTGATTCAATGTTGCCCCATATAAAATACGTGTAATGAAAATTTGTCGTTACACTGAACAAATTTTAAATGAAAGAACCCAATTTATTTTTAGTACTGAATAAATTTTGTTTTAACTTCAGCAAGTTCAACATTTTCAAAATGTTTGATCATGTACTCGACGTTAAGTGTATATAAGTAAATTAAGTGGTAGTCTTCGGAAATGTATTCTACTAGATACAAATTTCAATTTAAATAAGGAGCAAATTATTTATTGTTTTAACTGTATCAAAACACATTTTTATACTTTCATTTATTTTTCTTGTATAGAAACAAAAAATTTAATCACTGATAATTTATTTGTTTTGATAAATTATAAGAATTTTAAATTTATTTTAGCTAGCTTGATTTTTCAAGTAGGATTGGTTGTAGATTTATTTCTGATTGTAGAGACGATCAGATTTGTTAATATACAGATTTGTAACAATTAAATGTTTATACACATTGGCCCAATGTTGGTCCAATATATCGGGCTAACATTGGGCAAATGAGAAAAATGACACTGGGCTAACGTCATCTGCCAACATCGGCCCAAATGTTCTTGTTGACGTTTTGCCAACAATGTCACATTCATTGGGCCAATGTTGGCGCAACGTTGGGCCAATATCTGTAGAAATAACACTCTATATTGGGCCAACATTGGGCCGATGAGCAAACTTAAATTGGGTCAATGCTATTTGCCAACATTGGCCCGATGTAACCGATTACATTGGCCCAACGTTGGCCCAATGTTAGCATGCTATCTGTACAGTGTTGACCCAACAGCACCTGGCCTCTACACTTCCCCGTGTCTGATTTACACAGATTTGTACATGAAATCGATTAAAAACTAAACGTTAATTCAGCTGTGCCGAGGCAAACATATTATTAATACTTACAAAGTGGATGCAGATATGCAAGGTATCAGTCTCATTACGCTCGTGTCAGATTAAAAATGGCGCGGGTATTACAAGTAGCCCGGTTGTTGTCTACCCATGATGCTCAGTCAGATTCATGGTATATTGGGCCAACGTAGGGCCGATGCCAATCCCCAAACAAATATTTTCTCTCATGATAATAGTTTTATGATATGATGCCAACAGTTAGCCCAACATTAGCGAACTTTTATTCATAACCAGCTATCAATATTCCATGTTGGGCCATTGTTGGCCCAGTCAAGGTAACCCAACATAGATAATAGAACCATAATGTAAGATTGGGCCAACGGTGTTCTGCTATCTGGGTTATTACAAATAAATAAGCATGTACACAATTCAAAAACTAGAATAAAACACTCTTTGGAGCTTGATAACTTAAGTGCAAAGTTAAAATGATGAAAATATCATATCTAAACAAAAGCAGTCATCCAATGATAAGCATGGACATAGAAAGTCCTCTTAATTATTTCAGAATGTGCCAACGTTGTCCCAACGTAAAGCTCAGCAGCTAATTATAAAATTGACACCATCAATTAGTTGGCAGTAAAATAATTGGGCCAACGTTGACCCAATATAAATAACCCATCTTTGAAAGACCTAAACAAAATTACACTTGTGTGTATTACAATTTACAAACATTGTGCCAACGTTGGGCCAACATACTACTACCAACTTGATAGGACACGCACTTTAAGGGTGTATTACAAACAATGGGCCAACGTTGGGCCAACATAATACTACCAACTTGATAAGGCACTTTCTTTTAGGGTGCATTACAAACAATGGGCCAACGTTGGGCAAACATACTACTACCGACTTGATAGGACACGTTCTTTAAGGGTGTATTACAAACTATGGGCCAACGTTGGGCCAACATACTACTACCAACTTGATAGGACACGCACTTTAAGGGTGTATTACAAACAATGGGCCAACGTTGGGCCAACATAATACTACCAACTTGATAAGGCACTTTCTATAAGGATGTTTTACAAACATTGTGCCAACGTTGGGCCAACATACTACTACAAACTTGATAAGGCACTTTCTTTAAGGGTGTATTACAAACAATGGGCCAAAGTTGGGACAACATATTACTACCAACTTGTAAATACACTTTCTTTAAGGGTGTATTATAAACATTGGTCCAACGTTGGGTCAACGCCACGACCCTTCCTTCTTTGGAAACTAAAGTGAATGGAAGTTGCTTACGTTGGACCAACGTTGAGCCAACATAGGAATTCCGTCATGGTCGAGAAGGTAACATTGGTCCAACGTTGGCCCAACGTTGTTCCCCCAACGCCAACCATACAACCTTTAACAAATGTTGGCCCAACATAGTCATGCTATCTGGGAAGAACGTGGATGTTTCTACTCTCTGTACCAGCAACAAAAATGTTTTCAGCACTATCCCTTTCAAGTCCATATGGTTCCTTTAAGTTTGATGACTTGTATTCCCAAAGATTATTGCCATTATCATTCATTGCAATTACTGTATTTTTCTCCTTGTTACTGTAAACAAGATCCACACTGTTCAATGCAAGGAGATGAACAAAACGTAAACCCGTTTTGTACTCATTTAGTATGTTTCCATTTTTATTAATCTTTATAATTTTGTCTCCACATGCCACAAAAAAGGCATCATTTTTATGTGTTATTCCGTAAACGTATATATCTAGGTCAATATTTCGTGTTTCCATGAAGTCAGAAGATGAGAAAACCTTGATAGATCGTGTGTCACAGCAAGTAACGAACAAGTCATCCCCATATTCCACAACTGCAAAAGGCTGTCTCAACCCATCGATTATTTTAATGCAAGTAAAATCTTCATCATAAATATTACAATGACCTTCAAGCTTATGATTTGCAACAATAAATCTGCTATTTGAAAGAAAAGTTCCACTGCGAATATTGGCATTAGAAGGACTAAATTCCTGTTTAAAAGACAGTTCTTTTTCACACAAACGAAAAACGTCTTTTTCTATATCAAAAGCCTCTATCTGTGACAGAGTTTTAATGTCTTTCATTTTTTGTAACATTTCAGATTTTTTTTTCTGATATCCTTATATATTTCTCTGTGAACTTAATAGATTTTAATTGCACTTGAGTGGCTCTTGCTGAGTAATATTCCAATAACAATTCAACATCACTACCCTTTTCCATGGATTTTTTAACTTTATCAGCACAAGACTTTGCGCAAGATATCCCGTCGGTGACAATCTCCAAATTTTTCCACAGTTTTTCTTTACTAGTTTTAACTGCCTCAGATATTTCTTGTTCGAGATTATTCCTAAGCTTTTCTAAATGGTCCATTATACATTTGATTTCCTTTTCAGCATTTTCGGTCATGTTATTCACACAATCTTCTATTTCAGTAATGTTTTTTTCTTGCCTTGCCTTTGAACCTGTCAGCCTCTTTTCTAGGTTCAGTACGTCAGTTAACAGACAGCTTAGTTTATCACTTTCTCTTAAAGATTGTGCAGCTATTTCAACAGTATCAACGCTGTCACATTTTCTGTGTTCTGTGCTTACACACATTGTACAACACAATGCTTCATGGTCGTTGCAAAATAATTCTATCTCTCTGTTTTTATGTTTTACGCAGGTTAAGTTTGAAACTGAATCGGGTACAATGCTTGTTGATTTAATTTCACTGAGAGGATACAGTCTATGGCTCTTTGTGGTCAAGCCTTTCTTATGACATTTTGTACAAACTTGACATAAATTCTCCATACACGTGGCACAATAGGTAGTCGCTTTTTCTTCTTCATTGTCTCTTAGGCAAGGCTCACAATTCAACTGATCACCTTTCTCAAGAATCTTTTCTAGAAGGTGATTTTCAGGAATGCATTATAATATCTATGGCTTTTCAACTGTGTCTTTACAATGAATGTATTCACGGCATAAAGGGCAGTGAAAACCCAAACGGGGTTCCGTAGACGTACAAACGCTGACAATGTAGGAAGATAAACAGCTATGACAAAACGAGTGAGAACAAGGGAGATACCTCGGTTTTTTAAATTTCTCAAAGCATATTGAACACAACGTTACATCTTCCCCAACGTGAATATCTTTTAGCGAGGTTGCCATAGTCTTTTTAGATTGTTGAGATCTTCTTTTCTACTTTCGCTCTCGTGTCACCCGACGAGATACACGTACATTGTAGTATGGAAACACAAGTAGCGATAATTTGATACGATCACGACAAACATTGATCCAAAAGATAATGAGGCACGTTATACAATGTAGATTGACACTGCATTCAAAAAAAAATTGTTTTGTGTAGCGTTTTTTGTATTTCAAAGTCAAACCCTTTCCTCGTTTGAGGACCCCTACCCTTGAGCTCTTCGCTTTTCCAACAATGAAGGTTACGCAGCACAGTTAATGTTACAGCAAGGAGGCGGGACCTAATTTGTACGGGAAATGTTTACTATGACGTCACACATAATATAAGGTCTTCAAAATACCACAAAATGATATTATTTGCTATTTCAAACATCTGGATAGCTGTATACTACATACAAACTTACTATTACGTGCAGTTTTGTTGTTTGTTAAATCCCACACATCAGTATATAAACGATGCATCGCTGATCAAGTCACATTTTGTACAATGAAAAATGTCTTTTGTTCTCAAATAAAATATTATTTGCAGTGAAATAAAAGGCCGTTAAATTGGATGCGATATCTATTTTAGTATTTTATTTAAAAACTGTCCGTGCATTCTCTAGACAAGTGATACTGTCGTGTGTTTGTATGCAGGTTCATTGAAAAGGTAATGGAAGGGCCCTAATAAATCGATTTATTGCAAGGGCATACCCTCAATGTATCTTGTCAAGTTTTTACACATAAACTCAAGAAGCATTAAGATATTTGAAAAGTGCTGTGAACCTCATGAAATCTTTCAAATAAATTGATAATAGCTATATTTAATGTGATTGACCAGCAAAATATTCAACCTGCCGTCCAACAAATTAAATTTTAGCAATTAAAAAAAGGGAATCTATATTGGTTCGCAGCACTTTTCAAAAACTACATACAGTGCTGAAAAGGATTATAAATTGAACTAAGATTTTTAACTTGGTTATGCCCTTGCAATATTGGAATTCATAAATGACCTCTAAACTGCAAGTAAAATTGCTAAAATCTTGTGACGTCGACATCACATGAAAAATCTAAATAAAAAATTTAAATGTCCCCAACATGTAGATTTAACCCACATTACATTTGTTTGATATCAGTGAAGTCCTAAAAAGAATCGCCCATCCTAATAAAGTGTGTATTTTTTATCTTAAAAAATTGCCGATATTTCCATTTGTAACCTTAACTGTGCTGCGTATTTAAATATATTTAATGTATCGTTAATTTATTATTTCCCTAATTTCAAACCTGAACCCATCGGGTATATCCTATATATACTAGTATAATATGAAGATTTTCTATAGTGTTATAAAGCCACTATTATTATAAAAAAAATTGATGTATCAGACCAATTACTCATACTTAGAGTAAGACATAGAAGTTATGAACATTGTTTTGAAGTTGCAAAATAAATTGAATTTGAGAAAATGCA